AAAATTCTCAAAATTTCAAAGTAAACGCGTTTTCCATTTTCATGTTTTCAGAAACAGTTTTTCAGAATGGCAAACAGAACGCATTTTCAGAAATTTCAAAACAGACACTCAAAACACAAAACACAAAATGAATTCAAAACTCAAAACACAAAACTGAAACACAAAGAGAACATGCCCTTAGTGTTCGTTTGACTTTGTTTTTCATGGAAATTGTCAATTAAAGTAATAATTTCTTTTACCATTGGGTCTAGAATTTGTTTCACTTGCAAACAAAAAAAACTAAAAAACTACCATACCGAATATCATTCGTTTGGCTTTATTTTATATGAAAATTTTCAATAAAAGTGATAAATTTTTTTACCATTGGGTCTAGAATTTTTCCCAATTACAATAAAAAAAAGGCTGGAAAATGAAAACCCGCCTAAAATGTGGGAAAAAAATTTCAACAAAATCAAAGAAAATGTGCACGTGTAAAAGAAAGTGAGAAAAAAATTTCATGGGAAATTTCTAGTATCAAACAAGGCAAAAGTTAGGAAATGGAAAAAGAATTCCTAGTTCTAGAGAAAATAGAGGGTATCAAACAGGCCCTAAGGATACTAATACCCATTGTGTTCCAATTCAACACTTTTGAGGTAAGATTTCAAAAAATGGTCTCTCTTTGAAGAGCACAATATGAATGAAGTCATAAGTCTCCTTTGGAGAGTTATTTACCATCTTTAGTTTTTACCTCTGATTTTGTTTGAGTTCATTGTTATTGTACTGAAAAAGTTACTTACAATTAGATTTTTGATAATCACACATACTAATTCAGGTCTATCTATTTCCATTTTAACACGTTCCACTAAAATTACATCTCAAATCTATGCAAGACATCCACGATCACCTAAATCACTACTCTTTTAATCCATTGCCATATTGTTTCTTCGTGTTATCATTTCTTGCGTCACTTTATCACCGCAAACTTTTCTTCACCGTGGAAAAAGTATATAGTATCACAAATATAATCAGTCTCAGTTGACAAATTTATAGATGATTTATATAAAAAAAATAGTAGTGAATCACAAGAAATCAATGGCAAATCCAAAACTGGACTGAAAAAGATTTCAAACCAGGCTAATATTTAAAAAATAAAAAATAAAATTACACATTATAAAATACAATATCTGCATATAAAAATTCGTTTGCATATAAAAAAATAGATGGCTGGGGACTGAATCGGGCTATCCCCCTACATCCATCCCGACATGAAATTTATAAAGAGAAATTTACCTAAAACCATTCCTTTCAAAATTACAATTCAAAAATGAGGTGATAAAGTTTACATTTCAAAAATCAGAATTAACTGTGTATAAATGTTAGAGAAAATTACCTTAAACCCTAGTTTTTAAGTTAACATTTCAAAAATAAGGGGAGAAGGTTTAAATTTCAAAATTCAGGTGATAACTATGATTATTAATTGTAATTAATAAAATTTTAAATCTACCTATTTCATCACCCCCACTCCACCTCCCATTAATTGAATTCCCAAATCCAGAAGCCATCTTCCTTTCTCTCTGTATCTTCCCTCCCTCCCTCTGCCTCTCGTAGCAGCTTCACCCCGACACAACCATCTCCGTCCCTGTGAATCCACAGCAGCTTCAAAACACTTGATTTGTCTGGGAAAGCATATGTTCTTTGCAAAGCCAGATGAACAACATGAGGAGGGCCAGTAGAGAGTTCCAGTCAGATGGGCACCTCTAAGTAGTGGTTTCCATGAGCTAAATATTGTTGTAGCGATAGTTAAGGGAGAAGAATGGTTTGTTGGTGGTTTTTTTTGTAGATTGTTTTTTATTCGATGCACTTTGGTGGTGTTGGCGGTGTTGGCAGTAGTGGTGGTGCAGGTGATGGTTGTGGCGATTTGAGCTCCGATGAGGTGGTGCTCGTGCTTTCAGGGCCAATTGAGGTGGCACTAGGCTAGTTAGCCATCTGGGCTTCACTTGAAGATAGAACTGTAGTGACGGGGGTTGTGTTTGTGTTTGGTTGGTTGTGTGTTTGAGTTTGGATTTGATCTATAAGTGGAATGGTGAGGATATTAGTAGTGGATGAGGGGCGGCGACTTACCCAATTGTTTGAGTTTCAGTAGTAGTTAGAGTTGTGGGGATTGTGTTGGTGGTAAGGTTAGTTGCCTTCTCAGTCGACTGATTGTGTGTTGATTGTGACTTGAGATCGACCTGGTCACAGACAGTCATACTCAATACAAATTTGATCACAGTTAGTCACATTGAATGCACACTTGATTACAATTAGTCACATACGGTCACTGAACACAAATTTTCTTTTCGATAATTTTTAGGAGGTGGAGGCAGGGATGGGGTGGTGTTAGGTGAATCCATGCGAGTGGGGGTGTGATTTTCAATTTTTAATTTTCTGGAAATCTTTGAGTCGCCGGAGCAGCCGCCGGAGAAGTCATCGAAGAGGCCGTCGGAGTGATCGCCGGAGCGGATGGCCATTTTCGGTGGAGAGGTGGAGGAAGGTGGTGTAGTAGGGTGATAGAATGTAGTAGGTGAGGTGGCATGGATAGAAATAATNAGAATGTCAACCAAGCTGTCAACCAGGATGGTAGTGTAGCATGATTGAAGCTCACAAATGGGCCAGACTCCAGAGCCCATCCGTCCATAAAAGACAAGCCGTGTTGTTTTCACCGGAAGCGCCGGTAGAGGGTGGCCCTTCCTTTGCACTTTGCAGATAACAATGGGAGACTTTTAAGCCACTCATTGCGGCATATTGTAGCCAGGGTCCCACTTTCTCTGACGCCGTCAAATCTAGGTTCTTCCAAAGTCATTTCCCCGTCTGCTTCGTTAAATGCACTGACGACGTCAAATTGAAGGCACTGCCGCTACAAGGGAATATACTATAATCCGGTACTGTATGAGGAGATAACTATTTTGAGGTAATAGGGAGCTGAATTTTCAAATTTATGAGTTTGTTGATTTAGTCCTCGTCTTAAAGCCATTCTCACCAAATTTTTAGCAAAATTCTGTCCCGTTATACAGTAAAAGGCAATTCCATTTATTGACCGAACCAAGTGAAATTCCTTTTGTACGATTTTGACATTTATTTCATTATATTTGACAGATGAGCATTTTAAAGAATTTGCTCGATGTTAGGTTAGTAACGATGGCCGTACATTTTCAAATTATTCTTAAAATCTAGTAAGAATAGACAAGGGCTTTTCAAAATTCAATTTTAATTGATTTATGTGAATTATTTTTCAAATAAATTGAACTTTTGAATCATAAATACAATAATCCAAATATGTGATATGCTATCGGAGATTCTCATCGACCCTTCTTTAGCCCCCGGAATCAGGATGTAGAAGAATTTTTTTAGTATTCTACGAATATGGATCGGGTACTTTCGGATATTATTTAATTAAATTTGTATTATTCTTTCACGTTTGAATCATACCGTGTACTTCATATTTCGAGAGTATTACGGCGATCATTTATGCATTGTCATTCGTGTGTTTAAAGTTAATTAATAAGGTGCTCCAAAACTCTGTATAAAAGCATCATTAAATTGCTTTTTTGTGATTTATGATTGTTGTGTTACTTTATTTGTAATGACGACATCAACAAATCATTGTATTTCTCATTATAACTTCAAACTCCTATTTTTAGAATAGTTTAAAATAAGAACTCGTTTAAAAATTGAAGGTTTTAAATTATTTAGATCCACGTGTGAAATTACATAATTAAAAATAACAAGTCATTTATTAATTTTTCTAAATTGTTAGATTAAATAAGTCAATTTATTCTAAATTTGAATACCACAATTAATAATTAAAGTAATAAAGAACACAAAAAATGATCACAGAGAAATCTCAATTGAGTAAAAATTTCAAGCACTTTACGAGTCAGTAATCCATTATAAATCGAAGTAAACTTACAGTACGGTCTAGATCCGTCTATCCCGTAGAACTTTTGATCTCAATTTTTTCAGTCTCTCTTGATCTTACTGGAGGTGTGCTCCTTCAAAACAAATATCGTCTCTTAGTTTATACCTTAGCTCTTCTGGACTGCGTGGTCCGGCGTCGATTCCGACTTCGGTACCTCACTTTAATCCTCCTAAATTTGTGCTTCTACAGTAGCTCCTGATCGTTGGTATCGATTTATCTCTGGTGGATTAGGTGGTTTGGTGATTGATCTACAGATCTTGTGTGTTTTGATATGTGGTTTAATATGAAACAATATGACTTGATCAATAAAATATGTTTTGGAAGAATTTATTATTCAAGTAATATGGGATGATTGAATTTCGAAATCAATAAATGTTTTGGATTATCAAATAATTGAACTCTATGGGATAAATTTGATTCAACACACTTTTGGATGTTCATAGGGCATGATATATATAAGGAAAAGTGTTTGGGTTGAAATATGGATGAAAATCACATGTTTTAAAGCAAACAGGATTATGGATCTCGACCCCTCGCTAAAGCGCCAGGCCAATGATAGGTGAGCGAAACACCTGTGCTTAAACGCTAGATGGGCGATAGCAATTCTGCTTCTTCTGCTTGAGTGCTGGCTAGGCGACATGTTAACGAAATTGCTTCCTACTTGATTTCAACTTCTTCAAATCCAAATCTTAAATTTCTTTGACTTCTTTTTGCACTCTGTCAACTCTATATTAATTTTACCATAGCTTGGACTTTTATAATCCTAATTTGACTTTGATTACAAATAATTAAATTCTAATGCAATTCAATTATGACTAAAAAAATTGTCAATTACAGATGTAAAAATTGCCAATTATATAATTTGGACTTAACAAAAATAATTATGAAATTTCCAACGTAAGCTAACTACAAGCTAGTAGGTAGAAAGGGAAAAATATCTTATATATCTAAAAAAAGGTATATGCATTTCAAAATAAATAGTGCATAACAATCCTCTAATAGATTTTTAACGTAAATTAACAAAATTAGTGTGATAGATGGTATGGATATTTAGACAATTTCATTAATATTTATCTTACGAATATTATAAATTATCAAATATAAGTAAATAAAAATTCATTTAATCTGACTTTCTCTGGAGTTTATCTCTTTTTCCCGTTGCGTATGCAAGTTTGTTTGTGAGTTTTACTAGTTTAAGCAGTCCCTTTGATTGGCACATTCAAAAGTACTTCGTTCAAGAAAAGCAACTCCTCCCACCGAATAATCTATTCCAACTTATAAGTCACAAGTCGCATATTGATGGCGTACAAACTTCTATTCATGTAATTCCTCTTTTACTTACTTTTTATAATAAATACTAGTAAGATGCACGTGCAAGGCACGTGTCGTAGTATAATTGACTACGTAATAGCGTTGACTGATTTTTTGTTATTTTTCGAGACATTATTAATTAAATCTTATTTAACAAAATTTCTTCAATAGAAAACCTTAAAGTTAAAGCGATAAATAAACAAAAAGGAAGTTAGAAATAAAAGGGGAAATTATTCATCATAAAAAACTAATATAGATCAATTCAAATTTAAAAACACTCATACACTAACAAATAGGGCTGTCCGTAGGTCGGTTCGGTTCGATTCTGAAGAGACCCGAAGACCCGTCGGGTCCCAATATAATTATGGAACCGTTCGGGTTCAGTTCCGTTCGGTTCGGTTCGGGTCGGTTCCGTTCCGTTCGATTCTGTACCATAATTAAATTTTTTAATATTTACAGCAACACTACATAAATACAACTAATCACATTTCATTCGTAAATTTTACAAATTAACGTAACCCAATTCAAAAACATATAAATAACTAGCCGTCCAATATGATTAATTCAATGCATACAAATACCAAAAAGTAGATATTAATATTACAACAATACTACATAAAGTATATTCATTTGTTTCAAATTAAAATGGG